AAATAGTAGTTCAATAAAATTTTGAATGTGAGTCAACAAATGAGATGACATGCCCTTTCACCTGTGACCCATCTTGAAAGGGTTAAAAGGAGTAGCTTTAACAATATTAAGTAATCTTCAAGCTGAGAGCTATAACAACTACCAAGCAATGGTAGCTGTCTTGTCCAACAGATTCGGAGTGTTGCCTCAGAAAGAAGTATCAAGAATAAAGTTCTGGAATACAGTATGAAGGAAAGAATAGACTTTAGATAAACTTGCAGAGAGGCTTGCCTAATGATCTTATCCAATTGCTTTTTGTGAGATGATGGATTCCTTGGTAGATGACCAACTTATAGATTCCATTACAAACAAAGATATGCAAAGTTGGATGAAGCAGAGTATGTGTACATCTTTAAAGGTGCTCTGCAGTTGACAATGGAACTAGAATCTATCAAAGATGCAGAAAAACTACTAATAGGGCCATCTAAAAGTTATGGGAATATCAGATTCTACAGTACTGAAACATTAACTCTTCCTAAATATAGTCTAGAAGAATGGAAAGAACTAACTCTTTCCATATGGGCTAGGTGCACTGCACCTAATTCGTAACCACCATGAGATTAGTCATGAGCATATCTTAATTCAAAATTCTGATTTTTTGTCTACAAAAGATTTGGAACATTTATTGATAGTCTGTGAAATTTCGTTATGTAATTTTATTAAGAATTTGTCTATGAATACATGGAGTCAGAGTGTTGACTAATCAGAGTGCAAAGTGATATTCATGTTAAGATTTAAAATGCTTTTCATCATCTAAAAATTGGCAGATTTCACTTGTGGAATCTCTAAAACTTGCTAAATAAATATAGTTTTTTTTATTGTTTTTTTTGAGAAAAACTATTATATTTTATTTTCTCTACCCTAAATTTATACAGGGTCAATCGATTTAACAGACCTCAAAATCACCATAAAAAATTAGGAAATAAATCTAAGTTACCTTTTCTTCTTTTTAGAATGACTGCAAATTGTAAATAAAAAATCACAATTGTCTTATTGACATTTGAACCATGTCTAACTAATAATCCCACTATACATGTTTTAAATCACTCAGCAATCATGCAGCTTATAGGCATATCTCTTAAAGAACATGTTTTTGTCATTATCTTACCTAATCTAACCAAGTAAGCTTCTAATTTTTACATTTTACTTACTTTTATGATAATAAATATAGAACAAATATAAAAACCAAAAAATATAGTACTTACCTTGGTCTTTTTGTTGTCAACTGTTGATGAAACTTAAGCCTATTTTTTTATGTTAACTGTACTACCACACTAAATATTTTTTTTATTTAATTAAATAATGCACCTAAGAGCACTGAATAATAATTTGTAAAAAGAAGACAATGTTCTATAACTACCATAATTGTTTTGGCTTACTAACTACGTGATAAATTCAGCTAACTCATCAATATGTTTCCCATGGGAGTAAAGTTTGAACTGGAAGCAAAATAAACAATTCTCTGTAGAGAAAACAAAGTAATATCATATGTCATTTAATAAACTAAAACTTGGCTATCTAATGGTTATAAATAATATAGTAATAAACATCAGATAGAACTATTGGCAATTTGTGATAGAGAAGATGTGAGGTAGGCATGGCAATGGAGTCTGATTTTCTAGTTTATGGCTCCATAAACAAATATGATTGAAGGCTATAACAATTATGCTTTGCTTGAGTAATATCTATATAACAATAAGTAACTTACATTAAATGCATACTTCTGAGAGGGGTGGTAAATAAATTAGAGAAGAGGAGAGATTGAGGAATTTTTTAAATATTCCCTTATAAAATTAAAACTTATATAATATTAAAATGTGATTTATTAGCTATGTTTTGATGACAAGTTTATTCATATACATTAATAATAAAGTAGTTTGATTAAGTTTTGAATGTAACTCTGTAAAAACGTTGTAACACGCTGAAAAAAGGGTAACTATTACAACCGACACTGTAAGGAATCAACAGTTGTGAATACTCCATCTTTCACAAGTGAAAAGCTCATTATTTGAAGGAAATTGTCAACAAGTCCATGGGCTTACTGATGGCCTACTGAGTGACCTGGTTACACAGCTATAACTGTTTGTCCTGATTTGTTAATGAAAGATGGGAAATTGCCTTCTGAGATGAAGAAGAGGGATTAATGTGAACATCAGGTGAACATAAAGTTTCAGCAAAAAAGGAAGTTGGAAGTTACCCTACCTGTAGAAAGCTTCTCCACACCACATATGTGGGTAACTGATATAAAGGAAGAGTACACCTTAGAATCTTGCTTCATGAGGAGACATGGTGTGAGATTGGGCTAGCTTCTGATAGCTTCACAGTCAGTGACCAGGAAATCCCTATGTACTACAAGACAATTAACACATCAGAGGTTAAACTTACAGTGGAAACAGGGATGGTAATAACTGCACTACCAAGAAGTGAAATACTCAAAACAGAAATTAGCAATATATCTTCATCCAGTGAGTGGGGCATAATGTAACCAACTCTTGTAACCTGAGGAATTGGTAGTTCAAAGACTCATGGATATGAAGAATAAACATGATTTCACCCAGGAAAGACTTAAATCAGCTGATGATAAAAACAAAAGGTAGCTATGGTGTGAAATCTGATAAAACTGAAAGTTGCATGGTATGGCTGAACAGTTCACAGCATAAGAAAGTAAAAAGTCCAAAATTAAGTTGGTGTTTGGTGGATAAGTGATCCAAGTCAAAGGCAATCTGCTA